CCCCTCAGGTGTCTGCCGCTGTCTTCATCTCTCAGAGTCTGTATCTGTCTCCAAGCTAGCAGCCATGTCTGTACAGTCCATAACATTCGGCAACTCGAACAAACCTATGCCATGAGTCTGCAAAAACTGCATGCTTAAAGTTTAAAAGCAAAGAGCAGCTAGAAAAGTTTTTTCTTGACAAACTTTGGCCATTTGCTAAGCAGGTCATTGCTTGTTGCTGATGTGTTCTGTGTGGTTGCTAGGGTGCTGATAGGCAGTTCTGTGTGGTGGCTTGTTGCTAGGGTGTTGATAGGCAGATCATTACTTGTTGCTGATGTGTTCTGTGTGGTTGCTAGGGTGCTGATAGGCAGTTCTGTGTGGTGGCTTGTTGCTAGGGTGTTGATAGGCAGATCATTACTTGTTGCTGATGTGTTCTGTGTGGTTGCTAGGGTGCTGATAGGCAGTTCTGTGTGGTGGCTTGTTGCTAGGATGTTGCTAGGCAGGTAATTACTAGGCAGCTCTGGGTCGTTGCTTGTTGCTAATGTGTTCTAGGTGTTTGGTAGGGTGCTGATAGGCAGTTCAGTGTGGTAGCTTGTTGCTAGGGTGTTCCTACACAGGTCATTGCTTGTTGCTAATGTGTTCTTGGTGGTTTTAGGGTACTGATATGCAGTTCTGTATGGTAACTTGTTGCTAGGTTGATTTCAAGGCAGGTCATTGCTTGTTGCTAAGGTGGTTGCTAGGTTGTTTGTCCCCAGGGTGTTGCTAGGAAAGTCATTGCTAGGATGTTCTGGGTCATTGCTTGTTGCTAAGGTGTTCTAGGTGGTCGCTAGGGTGTTGCCAGGCAGTTATGTGTGGTGGCACGTTGTTAGGCAGGTCTTTGCTTGTTGCTAAGGTGTTCTAGGTGGTTGCTAGGGTGCTGACAGGCAGTTCTGTGTGGTGGCTTGTTACCAAGGGTGTTGCTATGCAGGTCATTGTTAGGTTGTTTTGAATGGATGCTTGTTCTGGGTGGTTGATTTTGCTGTGGTTTTGCAGATATATGGACAGACCGTAATCCAGATTAATCGTATTGCGTTTAGACCGTAAGAAGAACAGACAGGAAATTTTGGCATTTATTTATTTAACAATTTCATTCCATACATGTGAATTAGGCTTAAAATCGAATTTCGAACCAAATGAATACACCAAGGAACACATTTAAAAAAAAAAAAAGAAACAAAAGAAAATAAACCAAATGAGGCGTTTTCATTTCAGCTTGCTACAAGAAGCACAAACCCTTCGTGTTCTGAAGCCACTATCGTTTCAAGAGCTAGGGAGGCCGTTTCGCTTATAAACCAGGTACTCAATCTACCAGTGCACAGTATGCTACCCACTACATCTGCTTCACTGGCACACAGAATAGTTTTGCAACGTGAGAGGAACATGGTGAAATTTAAGTAGCGTTTGTCTGTTTATCTGTTACATTTGAACTACAGAGGTTTCTGGAACTGTTTGCATTGTGGTGTCATCGGTGCAGCTAATTCTAGCAAGGTCATGCGAAAAACTGTGAAAACAGCATTTCCTTCAAACTATTTGATCTTGACCTACTTGTAGTATGTCCTTACACTAAGAGGGCAGTTGTCATAGTAACACATTTACAAGCTAAATTAGAGTGCATTTTTTTCTGGTCTAAATTTCGCAACGGATCGTTACAGCAGCTGGACAGCTTTACTTTATGCGGATATATTTAAACAATATACAGCTTGTGTGATATGAATTGGAAACAAGCATATATACACACGCTGACATGAAAAAAATAAGCATTACATAAACACTGAGATATTAGTGTGATTATAATGATGTTTTAAATGCAGCATGATTAAGCAAATATAAATAAATTGGTATGAGGTACCTGTATGTGTTAAAGTAGAAAGAAAAAATGCTTCATTCCTGAGATGCAAAAAAAAAAAAAAAAATTGTATTAACAGTGTTAAAATTTCTGTTCTGTTTTAAAAACTGGACTGTTTGTTAAAAAGACTCCTTGCTAGATGTTTTTTAATACACAAATTATTTTATTTCAGTGTATGAAATATACCGAAACCTAAACCTTATGAGTAAATGAAAAGAAAGTCGATGAGTGTGAATGAATGTTACTATTACCACGTTTCACTGTGATCATAGATGGTGCATTTTAGATGGTTCTAAGGGAAACTTTCATTACTCTGCCAATAAAATCTGCCTGCTAATTGGTAGTCTATATTCTTATAGTTTGTCAGGAGGAGAAACAAGCCATGTGTGTTTTATTTGAACATATATGGAACCTTTTTTTTCAGATCATAATGTTCAATCTGTATCCACAACATAGTTAAATAGCAGTTGTAGATGAACTGCAACTAGCAGACTCAAACATGTTTCTGACTGACAAAATTTGAGCTCTCTTCCTAAACCTGTGAGCTGCCTTTATATGGAGCATCATAACTCTTATGGAATCTCCTAAGTGACTAGTTTGGAGCACCCCACACTGGTACTGTGACATCTATTCAAATCAGTACACCATAATTTATTTCAATATAGCTTGCTGTTAACATGTTTGTACGGTCTGTATTTTCATAATCACAATCGTTCCATACCAGCTATAGTAAATATACTGGGGATTCAAATGGCAAATTACAACACTGATTGACTGAATAAATCCCAGTATTTATCCAAACATTTTAGGCGTTATTTTAGCTATGAACTCTTTGTAAAATTCCACTGCAATCACTAGATTAACAAAAAACATCAAACCGGAAATGTGTTTTGGTGCATTAAAAAAGCGAATATGAGGTGACATTATAACATGCAATGTATAAAGGCAAGTTTGAAGGAAAAGAAACAACCAGGCATTGGGTGACCAGTCTTCAATGAAACAAGAACCCATAAGAGCTGAAACAAAACAGCATGAAGCTCCCACTACAAACACAAAGGCAATTATGGTGATAAAAGAAGCGGATTTATTTTTCTTAGAAATGTTGAGAATGTCCTGTAACGGGTCAAAATCTGAGCAAGTGGATATATTTTCTTGATAATAGCATGTGATTTTACTGACCACAAAGGCAGCATTAGGTCAGTGTCACAATCAGACAGACAAGTACCAAACACTGTTAGCAGTTAATATGCCAGACAGACGGCTTTGAGCCAATCCACATAAAGAGAGATAACGTAGCAGGAAAAAAACAAAAACGGTAATTGTGGCTTGAGTAGCATGTCAGTGGTTATTTTTCTTTTCATAAGGCTTAAATTGATCTTTTTGTGCACTGTAGTTTGGCCTTAAGAAGTATGTAATCTGACTGAGAACACACAGCCCAGTGACTCTGTCAAAGTATACCATATTCCTAACCATTAATATATTCACACATATTAGGGATACATGTGACGAGACAATTACATTTGAGCAACATATTTGTATATGGAAGTGATATGTGTTATTGTGGTGCATTATGACTTAAATGAAAATATATTTTTGAGATTTACTATGAAAATTTAAAGCTTGACCATCTATTGGTTTCCTAAGCTTCAGTGATATCTTTCTTATGTGAGAACAGAGACAGACTGCGAAAGCAAGTATGAATACTAATCGTCATCATTTACTGGAAACGAACATCAGGTAAAAGTGTTTTAAATGCTAGAAGTCTCCCATTCAACAAATACATAGAATTGCCATTTCATTAAGTATTCCATTGCTGTCACAAATGTCGTCATACTCATTCAGTGGTTTTCAATGAAGCAAAATTAAATAATTTACACTGTGAGTCAAACAACAACAATCTTTCAAAAATGTTTTACCAAAATGTGATACTTGTACAGTATATACATGCCTTGAGCTAAAGCAAAGGTTATGAAGTTGCCGAGAATCTTTGAATGACAAATAAGATGAAAAAATTAACTATTTCCCCCACCAATATTTAGATCAGCTAATATACAAACTTGATGGAATTAGGGATCCCAAAGTCTAACAACAATTTTCACTAGTTACCACATTTAGCAGATATATTATACAGCCTTAGCAAGGTTGTCTATTCATCATAGAAATCAACAAAAGAACGGAATTCCAAAAACACTTCCAAACATTAACATAACCTGTGACTTCAGTGACCGTAAAGCGTACTGATGTCCAGTTTGGGTAATGAAAATCAAAGTTAGTTATTTTTACTTCATGATTGTTGTATTAGACCGATTGATGAGTTGATGTGAGTCATTTGTGCTTATTTTTTGATTGGCCTAAACCTTATGCTGTAAAATGAGTGAGCCGTTATGAATGCGGCACATGGGCAATGTTCTCTCAATGTTATCATAATGTATGTGAAATGTTCAGGTTTGCATAAAAAGTTTTTTGGAAACTTTCTTGGACTGTATATAGATCTGACCAGTGATGTGAAGGTTTAAGAGCACTGAAATAGTTGCACACTACTTGTTTTTGTTAAATATCACTTTCTGTGTTATGAGATTTCGTGTGTTCGGCACAACGGTTGTGTAAACAGCTGAAAGGCCGATATATCAGATGGTTACCACTTCGACCATGGATCTGTTGTTATGACAACGCTCGCAGACTGGGGGCCGATCAGTGCAGGAATACACAACCAGAATCAAGCAGTGGAGATGCATCATCATACTACACAAACACACAACTGGGCTTTTTCGTTCTTTCTGTCTTTCTTTGCCTGATTGCTGATTCACTAGCCCGCTAGGGTTTATTTGGTGACTAGAGTTGGTAAACCTAACTGTTTAAACTAATTTAAATACAAGGTGATTTTTCGGTGGAACACACTGAGACCTTCTGTGGAGCTATTCCTTTACGTACCAATATCTACAGTTCAAGTACAAAATACTGATTTTAGCCATAGTGTGAGTTGTCGGTTTCACATCATGTAATGGTAATTTGGAAAATGGAGCGTTTCTACGTACCGATAACATTATTAACACCTAAAAATCTGTAGAATAAAAAGGGAACCTCCCTCACTTCAAGTCTGAGTATATTTTTACTACTGTACATCATGTTTTGTTTTTGTTTTTTTGTTTTCGGGAGAAACATCACAATAAAAGGATTCAGCATGAATCACAACCAAAATTAAGGTAGAAATTATTTTTAAAAAAAACAGAGCACAAAACATTTTTAAAAATCATAACGCTGAAAATAAAAAAAACAAGCAACCAATCAGAGGCCTGACAAACATGAAGGCATTGACTGAAACTCAGCGGACATCTGTATATTTAGGCACTGTGAGAGGATGAAGGGCGAGTCCTTACTGGAGGATGGCTGCAGACTATATATTTTTTCATATTTGGAGATTTAGACTTTTTTGTACTACTTTGGGGGTGTTTTACAGCTATTTAATGATTACAAAAGGTGACATCTTCAGCAAATAAGTTGCCCGTATAAAGTAGCAGGTGAGCCGTTATTGAAAAAAGCAAAAGAAATCCGAACTGAAATGAAAAACAACAAACTGAACAGAAAGAGTGTGACGAAGCTTTCGCTGCTGTCTGAAGAAGTTCCTACACGGTGCAGAGAAGGAGGGAAGGAACGAGAGGAGAGAGAGAGGAGCGCAGTGCCATTGCAGTCTAAATGAAATACTCTTTCTTTTCTTCTGCGTGTGCGTGGTTGCCGTCAGCATTGATGATGGCTGTGTCTGCATCCGGGGCGTCATCTGCTCCTTTGGCCTCGTTTGTCAAATACGTGCCTGAAAAAAAAACACACAAGGTCTTGTTTTGAAGATTTATTTTTAAATGTCACTGAAACTTTACAATACCTATTTATGTGGACAGGTAAAAAAGAACAAAATGCTGGAAACTTTAAAATGGCAATTCTATGTAAGAGAATTACTATTAGTACACTTTCAGAAAAAAATGTACAAAGCTGTCACTGGGGCGGTACCTTTTCAAAAGGCACACCTTTGTACCTAAATAGTCCATATTGGTACCTTAAAGGTACATATTAGAACCTAAAGTGTACCTTTTGAAAAGGTACCACCCCAGTGACAACTTTTGTACCTTTTTTCTGAGAGTGTATTATAAGTCCAAAAGTCTGAGACCACTTGTGAAAATGCAAATATTTTTTATACATTACCAGTCAAAAGTTTGGAATTATTAAGATTTAAAAAAAAAAGAAGTTTTTAAAAGAAGTATCTTACTGTATGTTCACCAGTAAAAACAGTAACAGTGTTTTATTACAATATTATTGTATTACAATTATTATTATTAAAATAAAACTAACTGTTAAACTAACTGTTCTCTATTAATATATTTTAAACTGTAATTTATTCCTGTGATGGCAAAGCTGAATTTTCAGCAGCAATTACTCCAGTATTCAGTGTCACATGACCCTTCAGAAATCATTCTAATATGCTGATATTCTAATATTCCAGTATATATAATTGCAATATATAATGTATATCAAATGTTTACAATTTTATTGATTGTTCTATTAAAATTTTTGTAAATATTTTATTTTTTTAAATAAAAAATATTATACAAACTTCAAAAAGTCTCAGTATTTTTGTGACCCTATTTTGCTTTGATGACTGCAGCATTTAATTAATTTTACAAAACGTTCTTTTGTTTTAAATTATTCAAAATACTGTTTTTGAATCACAAATGAAGCCCACTATAGCTATTGATGTATTTTTGAGTATTACTGTATCTACATTTTACAGAAAGTAAATGAAAATCTCACCTTTATGCCGTGCCAGGTAGCGTCCTAATACAATAATTAAGCACAAAGTGGCGAAAACGACGACAGCAACAATTCCACCGATCAGAGCGTGGTCTGGCGGGCCTGGCAGGGCATTAGGATCTGTAAGAGAGAGAAAGAGGACGAGAAAGCATAGTTGGTAACCTTTCTCATTTCATCATACTTTTACCTTCCAAAACATCAGAAGGTTGACAACAAATAGTTTGGACTAAAGCTTTAGCCCTCTCCTGTGTGCTCAACTGCAGTTAGGGCTGGTCAAGGAGCTTAAAGTCCGTCTGAACTGACAGGTCGAGCCATATGGTGGTCTGACAGGGATCTATGCATGCCTAGAATGAAAGTAAAGAAGAAGACATGCTGCTTGTAACCAACAAGCATACACTATGGTCAAAAGTTGTTTCAGAAGGGTCACAAATTTCCTAGAAAAACATCTTTTCAGAAGCTGCTGAGGAAGGTCAACTTCCTATTAAAGCCAGTGGTTTTGAGATGTAATGCTCAACATGCATAGATTGATCAGGTGTTTGGGTATCCATACACATATAAATAAAGGTTCCAAAAGGGCGATGCCATAGAAGAACCATTTTTTGGATGCCCAAAGAAACTTTCAGTGAACAGTTCTTAAAAGAACCTTTTTTTAAATTTAACCTTTTCCTACTGTTTTGCACTATTTGGAATGGAAAGGTTCCATCGATGCTAAAAGTTCTTCATGGAACCATAGATACCAATAAAGAACCTTTATTTTTAAGAGTGCACAGAGTAGAATAAAACTCTTGAGTCTTGGACCAAGGCACTTATTGAAGACAAGACCTGCTATTCAAATTGTGGGGATCTTCATTTCATCCCTGACCAGACAATGCTCTTGAGCCTCCAAGGCAAGCGTGTTGTTAATTTATAAGATGGGCTCGTCTCCTTTCTGTCTGTGCTGTGGTTCTTTATTATGTCCCTGCTTAGTGCCATTTGGAGTGGTATATTATAATTGACAGCATGCGTTGCATCTGCCACAGTGTGTGCGTTTAATCCGGGCTGTGCTTTGTGCTGCGGGAGCTTCCTAATCACTGCCTGCAATTACTGTATCAGCCGCACAAAGCCGGGATAAACTCAGGGCCAGAGAGGCATTCAAACAGTCCATCAGCTCTCATTTCAGTAATGGAGAATCCCACCTCGGATCAACATCAGCTGGGCGTGCTGGCTCCATCCCTCTGATTGACATCTCATAGACTCGCTGTTTCTCTCTCTCTCAATAATAGCATTTCTTCTCTTTGTTGTGTTTACAGGAGGAGTATAAAACCTACAAGCTGCATCTGACTTCCCTGTGACAATCAATCACAATAAAAAAAAACAAAATATGTTTAGATCTCTATATCACCCTTTTAGCGGCTCGCTGAAATATGAAATGTGGAATGGCTACTCATATCTGACAGGCGCATGTTTCTGAATTTCCAACGGTGAAAGGCTGTGGTATTAAACTCTCTCAGTTTTTATGACATCGATAAATCAAACTTAAGTCCCAAAAAGTATCTCCACTGTAGGTGCGTGTGACTTTAGTCTGGCTATCAAAGAGCCTCGCCTTTACGCAGCTTCAACCAAAATGGCAGAGTTTTCATACAGAACTCTAGTTCTCCCTAATGTCTAACTAGGAAAAGTAACAAAACAAATTCTTGGCACTGCCATTCGAAATATTAGTACTGTGTTCAGACACTTCTGTCCCTGATCATTAGACTGTTTTATTACAAGTAGTTTTGACACTATAGATACCACAAGACATTATAGGTCGCATAAGACAAACCTTTTTAAGAAAATGCCACAAATTAAAAACTCTAATTTTAAGAAAACTCTGCATTTTTCGTACAATAATCATGCTACTTAAAAATGACAAAAACAAACAAAAAAAAATGACTAGTGTCAGTTTACTTTTTCCATTTTTTTTTCAAGTAATTTTCAGGGTGCACCCTTTTTATGTAGTGTTCAAAATCCGCTGGTGTCAAAAATATGAGGAAACGGTCTTCATATAAATATGTACAATTTAAACATTTTGGCTATGTACTTTAATCTTTTGCTTTGACTTCCTTTAGGTAGAGTTCAAGCTTTAACTTCCTCCACAAACCCTTTGCAATTTGCACCCTGCACTTGGCTTACTTTTCCTCTTTCTTAGCCCCTCATTTTCTGTCCTTGTGCACCGCACACAGGCTAAACTCATCAGAGCGTTTGTCCTTAGACACGCAATGGGCTTAACATAGTGGGATCCACCAACAGAGAACTGATATATTTCCTTTCCCCCAGCACACATTATCTTTTAACAAGGCCAGCGACAGTCCTTCCCTTATGATTTAATATTGAAGCACCACACGCACATTCCTATTTTAATATTCATAATTTCTTCCCCTGGCCCCTGCATTGTGTGGCTCTGGCAAATGTAACAAATTAACAGCAGTGAAACCGTACCGCTCTGATGGTGTGGGATATAAACTCACCAGCGGCGCATCTGAGAAGAGGCTTTCAATCCGGCAGCGGCTAAACAACGTTAGAAACAGTCACAGCACCCAGTGTGCGCGAACCCCTGCGGTCACATGAATTCTTAAAGGAAACTGTTTCAGAGGAGAAACATGCAGGAAGCACTCTTTTAACAAATCCACATGGCAGGGGTTACGAACAGGCCTCGGGGGGCAGGAGCAGCAGGGGTGGCCAAGTTGCGCTCTTGTCTGGATGACATTTCAAGGTGAGCATTATCATTAACTCCACATGCTAATTTAGGAGACTGGCACGTGCTGTCTGGGAGTTACGGTAATCTCTGATATATTTGTATAAATGCCTTAAAGGGAGACAGTGAGCGTGGGCTGAGTGTAAATGGATGTAGGAAAAGCGAACGTCAACGCTTCGGTGATCTTCCTTACATCTGGGAGTTATTGAAGGACAGTGACAGAGAAAGTGCTGAACTGGAAAGCTTCACCTTCATGGTACAATCGAACACTGGAAATGAACATTTACAGGGTGAAGCTGATGTGCTTCCAAATTGAAAGGTGCACCGAAAGAATTGTAACATTTCAAAACACCGCCCTCTATGGGGAAGGCAAATTCAATTGAAACCTTCCAATAAATCACCTAATATGAAAACCCAGCACAAGCTATTCAATGGCATTTATGATTTGATAGCTGTACGCGTGATTTGCTCTGACTCTTGGATTCAAATGTTCCACCACAATCAACCAGAAGCAAACCAAATTACGCATAAATTGTAAAATGCAGTGGAATGGAAAGATAGCATTATTAACCAAATTATGAGCTTAAGTATGAGCTCATTAGACTTGATTAGAAACTCTGCTGGATTTTAAGCTGTTTACTACAATCAATCACAATAAAAAAAAACAAAATATGTTTAGATCTCTATATCACCCTTTTAGCGGCTCGCTGAAATATGAAATGTGGAATGGCTACTCATATCTGACAGGCGCATGTTTCTGAATTTCCAACGGTGAAAGGCTGTGGTATTAAACTCTCTCAGTTTTTATGACATCGATAAATCAAACTTAAGTCCCAAAAAGTATCTCCACTGTAGGTGCGTGTGACTTTAGTCTGGCTATCAAAGAGCCTCGCCTTTACGCAGCTTCAACCAAAATGGCAGAGTTTTCATACAGAACTCTAGTTCTCCCTAATGTCTAACTAGGAAAAGTAACAAAACAAATTCTTGGCACTGCCATTCGAAATATTAGTACTGTGTTCAGACACTTCTGTCCCTGATCATTAGACTGTGAATCTCAAGTACATCCCTCAGTGTTGTGATAATTAGCCCTTCTCTGTCCTCGCTCTATTTTTATCAACACACAGTGGGGTTGCCGTGCCGAGTTCCTAGGGCGAGTCCATTGACACTGTGAGAGGCCTGGTAATCTCTAACTATATTAAGGATAATTTCTACAGTTAGAGAGAAGGAGTTCCATAGTTCATTTCATTAGTCAAAGCAAAACAAGGGTAGCATACAGCTCCAAATCTCACACTTTCCCAGATTGTGAATTACACAATGACTTTCAGAGGGGGGGGGTCAACTTTTATAGGATTTTATAATACTTTTAAAAAGTCATTTTCAACTTTTTGAGGTCAGTGGAGGTGTTATGCAACCTGTATTGTATATATACGTATTATAATTATATTTATAATAAAGTGATGAATAATGAAAAAGGGGGAAATGTCAAAAATTAAAAGGTCCAATGTTAAACAAACTCCACGTTTTTTTCTGTAATAATCATGCAACACACACACTACTTTTTCCATTTTTTTTTCAAGTAATTTTCAGGGTGCACCCTTTTTATGTAGTGTTCAAAATCCGCTGGTGTCAAAAATATGAGGAAACGGTCTTCATATAAATATGTACAATTTAAACATTTTGGCTATGTACTTTAATCTTTTGCTTTGACTTCCTTTAGGTAGAGTTCAAGCTTTAACTTCCTCCACAAACCCTTTGCAATTTGCACCCTGCACTTGGCTTACTTTTCCTCTTTCTTAGCCCCTCATTTTCTGTCCTTGTGCACCGCACACAGGCTAAACTCATCAGAGCGTTTGTCCTTAGACACGCAATGGGCTTAACATAGTGGGATCCACCAACAGAGAACTGATATATTTCCTTTCCCCCAGCACACATTATCTTTTAACAAGGCCAGCGACAGTCCTTCCCTTATGATTTAATATTGAAGCACCACACGCACATTCCTATTTTAATATTCATAATTTCTTCCCCTGGCCCCTGCATTGTGTGGCTCTGGCAAATGTAACAAATTAACAGCAGTGAAACCGTACCGCTCTGATGGTGTGGGATATAAACTCACCAGCGGCGCATCTGAGAAGAGGCTTTCAATCCGGCAGCGGCTAAACAACGTTAGAAACAGTCACAGCACCCAGTGTGCGCGAACCCCTGCGGTCACATGAATTCTTAAAGGAAACTGTTTCAGAGGAGAAACATGCAGGAAGCACTCTTTTAACAAATCCACATGGCAGGGGTTACGAACAGGCCTCGGGGGGCAGGAGCAGCAGGGGTGGCCAAGTTGCGCTCTTGTCTGGATGACATTTCAAGGTGAGCATTATCATTAACTCCACATGCTAATTTAGGAGACTGGCAC